GGTCTTATATTGTTATTTAAACCACCATACACACCACTAAACTTAAAGTACTGGAACAATGTTCAAGTCAGCGATCGACCAAGCTTGCCGTCGGATTGAAGCATTAGTCTAGTCTTATATTGTTATTTAAACCACCATACACACCACTAAACTTAAAGTACTGGAACAATGTTCAAGTCAGTTTGACAAAGAATCGCAATGCAGGATTTGATGCAACTCCCATTATTATCCCATCTCCTTCACATATTGTGGGTAGCAGAGAGAAAATACAGCTTACTTTCGGAGTTCTGCGTAGCGATTATTATAGAACACATTATATCAGGGGAGATACGAAGCAGATGTCTGTCTATTATGTGGCAGAAAAAAAAAGCACACAGCTACATTCCACACGAAGATTAGCCATTAGGTGAAATACATGGTCCATTCAAAGACGTCTCCCCAACCCTAACCAGGTCATTGGATGGAATAACTTTCCGGCATTCCAGTCAGGGTTTCAAACGTCTGCAATAGCCAGTATATATTTATCAGATTTAGCCTATGAAGATTTCAGCCGTCTCAGCCTGTTGGTTGCTGGCCAATGAGAAGACATGGTTTGGCGTGTCTTTCTGTGTAGGGGGTAAGTTTTCAGTGCGATTTGTTTACGTTTTGATAATCTCTGTTTTCAGTTGACTCCATTTGTAGCCATCACTTTCATCCAAAATGTGTCACTACTGTTGTGAAATAGCTATTTTCTCAGTTTACAAGAGTTACTCTCAGTTAAGGTGTTAGAAATCTCGTTTTAGTCACTCTAGTTTATGTCTCGACCCTACTTCATCTGATATCATTGCAATCTCCAATAGATTTATCAATGATGAATAAATCGAACTGGATATATGGGCTATTGACCCCCCAACCCCCAGGTCATCAATTTTACCGGCAACTGAGGGTGATAAATGTCCGAACTAGAATCAAAATAGAACGCTTAATAAGTTTGATAACAAGTTTAATCCAATGCTTCCAATGCATCGTGGTAAGGTGATTACAACTTCACTATGTACAATTAAATATTTAATATTAATACATTTATTATTCATCACAATAATTATTCCATGATAAATCTATCACAGGTTAATAGAAATGCCATTGGGTAAAGATTTAACTCTCTGAAAAGGTTGGTTTACAGGTCTTAGCTTTGATGATTTAGTTTAATTTATTAAATAGCTACACGTAGTGCCTTAGCATTAAACATTCCATTAGTGCAAAATACAACATATGTGCGCTTGAGTACGCCTGAATTTCGAATACTTTCTAATCAAAACTTTATATTCAGAACTTAATGTACACCTGTTAATTTCACATATAAAAAAACAAACCCTAATTAAAGCCTATATTATTATTAACGTGTCTGACGATGAAAGAATATCAGCTCATTTGTATAACATTGTGGGTGATCAATAAGTTCAGGCCTTCTATATAAAACGTTACAGAAGGAAGATTTTTCTTACACTATTTTTCAACATAGTCCCCTCTAAATTCAATGCACTTCGATCAAGGATGTTTCAGTTTTCCAAATCCCTGCTATAAGACGGTTTCATCTTTACCCTTTAGACAGCTGAGATGACATCATCATCAGCATCAAAACGGTGACCACGCAAGTGGAACTTCAGTTTAGGAAACAGATAGAAGTCAGACGGTGCCAGCTTTCTTCTCCTTTTCTCTTTGATTGCTACTCTTAACTGTCGCAGTTCTGAAGCATAGTACTTTCCATTGATTGTTTGACCCTTTTGCAAGTAGTCAATCATGATGACTCCCTTGCTGTCCCAGAAGAGAGAGGCCATCACCTTGCCGAATAATTCTTGAACTTCCTGGGCGGCTGTGAACCCTTGTATGTCCTTTGTTTGCTCTGCTCTTTTGATTCTGGATCAAAGTGGTGAACTCATGTCTTATCTTGGGTCACAAATCTCTTGAGGAAGTTGTCAGGATTTGACTGGAAACTTCCAACCTGTTCAACTTGTGGAGTCAACATTCGGGGCACCCACCCTGCAGACAGCTTGCATCCCCAAGATGTTCGACAAAACACTTTGAACTTTTGAACATTTTGACACATCTGTCATTCATTACCATGCGATGGATGGCCTCAACCTGATAGTCCGTGGTGGCAAATTTTGGGCGTTCAGACCTTGGGTCATATTTCGTCTCTCCTTACCTCGCTTACAGTTAGCATCCCACCTCTTTACAGTTGAATAAGAGGGGGAGTTCTCGTCTTGACCATGTCTTCGTGGAATTCTTTGGGAGTCATCCCCTTTTTATAGAGATACTTGGCCACAGCACGAGCTTCTGTGATTTTCGTATCACCTGATTTTAAATGGGCACCACGAATACCTAAATTTGCATTTCTATAGGTAGTTACTTAAGACATTATAGTATAAAGTTATACTCCAGGATAGGAGTTCCGCCCCTTGTTTTATGGTGAGATCGAGAACTTATTGACCAACCCTCATATGTCCTCCTTCTGTGGCACATATACGCGAAAATAATGTATATATATTTACGAAGTCTCGTGTTGTTATTGTGTGTTTTTTTTTTTTTTTTTTTTTTATTTTTATAATGGTATATACTAAGTATAAAAATGAGTGAGTACGCCTGGAGGATTATATACTACTGTGTTTTCATCAAATTTTGGCGTATATTGACATTGGCCTAGCGCATGCGCATGCGATCTATGACGGGGAGGGAATACAATGAATTCGTGATAAGTTATGACCCACTTGCATTTGAAACATATAGTTTGTCTGAATGGGAAATACACTTTTAATTGTGCAATAACTCTTTTTATTCATCACATGAAGTACGTCTTAAATCTCATTTTGCTCAGTATGTGGGCTCTTTGACGTCGATTGTCAATTTATTGTTAATATTATGCATGTAGTGATTGTAACGGGGAAAAAGCAATCTTCAAATAAGCATTACTGCTACGATGTGCTCTCTCACGTCGGCAACATTAGAAACTCCTGTCGTCATTAATATCATATCTTATGGAACACTTGCTCGTTTATAATCGGGCCTCACAAGTACCGCGTCAGAGGTAGAGGATCCATGGTTAAAATATATATATAAATGTAGTGGTGCATTTTTGGTTAGTCGATCGTTTTTATTTTTTATTTTTAGTGATTATATAAATGTTGAGTTCCTGTAACAATAAATAGAGTCGGACAAGCAGTAGCTTATTGAAAACTAGTGAATTAAATGAATTGGTTCTCGGTAATTATTTAAGAGGTTCGCTACTTATTGATTAAGTATATCGTGAGTGATTCGATCTCAAGATTGGAAAATGTCCAATGTCGTTTAGAAATACCACATCCTGTAAATGGTATATTAACAATGTTGATTTGCAAATTTGCGTACTAGGTTTTCAAACAAAATCATGCTGTTAATATGATTGATAGCAACTTCGCTCTCAGAAAACGAGTACCCACCGTGGGTTCGTATGACGTCAATGTGATGCGCACGTAAACATGCGCAAACTCAAAGAGAGTGTCAACATCGGGGCATTACTAGTCGTATGCTGTAATTGACGACTAGCAAATCGAGGCAAAAAAAGCGTACGTATTAAATGGAAGATGAGTTACCAGTAAAGATAAAATCTGATTGAATCTTTGTAAACTAACGATAGTATATATGCGTTTCGAAAAGAGAATAAAGACTAAGCGCACACGAAGTTATAGGAATATCAGAATAAACAAAAGTATGGTTGGTTAGATATAAATATACATTTGCCTAGTTAATCAACAGCGATTGCCGCAGATGTTATATCTGGACGCTCACATATTTGGATACATTCAATAACGTGCATTGACAAACACGTAGTTGTATGTAATTGTGTATTGTGATTAATCGAATTCATTCAAGCAGTGGTCTTGCTTGTTTGCCCAAGCCATTACTTCAATAACACGTATGAACATAATCGACTCGATTACCGTGCTTTACAGGGCCGTGTGTTCAATGTAACCTTACTGAACCTCATTCTACGCAGCAAAATACGATATTAATATATGGGTACACACAGCCTAATATGGTATATCATTTTACACAGTACACTACATACTTATCCTTGATACATTATTATTACATTTACTAAATAATTATAAAAATAATTAGCCTTATATGTTATTTAGCGTGTCGCATACATACTTTGAGCGTTGTATACGTTTTTATAGTAACACTAGATGAAACGAGGGCATGCAAAGTCCACGCGAATAAAGGTATTAACGGATTTTACTCAATGCCTTGGGTGAAAAATGTAATTTATGATTAGAATCTAATATGAAATTTGACGAGATGAAAAACGATAGCCAGCTGCACACAAGAGGGGTTCAACAAGATCGAGTTTTAGTTGCTCTTCTCGCAAATGAGTATATTTTTAATGACTTGTTCTATTCCGCGGTGCGTGTCCGTACATGGTATATTTTCGCGATGGCGCCACGAAGTGTCTGAATTTGTGTTTTCCATCGGGGACGGTCGTTTCGCGTGAGTTAATTTGTCGCTACACTTCGCAGTCAAGCTCTCCGGTTACGTTCATTGCTGCTATATTCCACCTATTCCGAAGTATTATAATCAAAATATTTTAAAGTTCATTGTCATTTAATTATTCTATCGGTCGTTGGCAGATAATAGTATGTACCGTGTGGGTACAACGGGTACTTTAGAAAGAGTAGGCCATACTGTATTAATTGCACTATGCCAACTACGCATGGTATTCATTGGGGATGTTACCCATCACCAAGAATGTATACTAACTATACTAACAACTAACTTGTTATTATCTATCGTCGGCATGCGAAGCGATATCAAGTGCACGTGGTTTACTAATTCGTATTGAAAATCAATTTAATCCTAAATACCTCAAACAAATGTAAAATTGCAAATCCGAGTATATGTGTAACATGGAGCCAAAATGGACGATTTCACCTAGAATTTGTTTCATGTGAATTGCTTTAAATTTATAAATGCAAAAACTCAGATTACGGATTGTTCATCATGTACATAAAAGCCGCTTTCATGCCAACAAACGTCTCTTCTGCCGTTGGGATTATCTGATCTTCGGGAAGTAGAAATCCATAATTTCCCTTGTCTCGTAATTCCAGAGAATGGGAGTATTTAATTCCAGCTCCACCGTATCCCCAATCAAGTCCAATCCCGGATGCAATGTCTAGAACAACAAAATGTAGTCATTGTTAACTGGGTAATTTGTTGTTAGCGTCCCCCAGCAGTCTCCCAGGGTTATCCTTGATTTCCATTAAATAATTATAAATATTAACAGCCGAAAACAGTCCTATAAACGAATGCCATTCGTCATTCAAAAGTACAATGTCTAACTAATATACGTATAACATGCTCCGCGAACTTGGAAATACAAACCCAATGATGAATACGTACAAAGAAACGGGTGCCAGCATATGTCTCTATGACAACTAGCAATACACATGCTTAGTCATTCAAGGGACTGTACTCATTCTTTTGTACCGTGCCATGTCCTTCCTTTCAGACAATAAATAGACAAATTAAAAAAAAAAGTTCCAGCCAGGCTGGCATTGCACTTTGTTCATATTTCGAACGCAATAAATTTTCGAACAATTGCTACGCGGCGATCAATGGGAAGTAACACCATGGTGAACTAAATTAGGGATCTT